CAATTTGTGAGTAAAGGTATTGAAAAGTGTTGTGAGTGTGGTGGTGAATGATGAGAGAGACTTAGAATCATGGACTCCAAAGCCGTATTTATAGATGGATCGTCAGTTGTCGGACCAGTCTGCCGTCGTGTACAGAAATCATGATATGAACTCCAAATGGACATTTCAAATCAAACCAATCTCCTTTGCGACTGCGGAACACGAGGTTGTACAAGGCATACAGGAGCATTGCGGTTGCATATTATGCCCCAAACGGGCTCACCCACAAGCATAGCTATTGGATCGGCGAAGATATTGAATCCTTTTTTCCGGACTTGGAGTCAGATTGACGAGCAAGTGGGTAAATATTACCTGCATTATGCTTAGACTGTGTGGCTCTGTAGTCGCCTTGCTATATCAGGGCGAGTCCACAGCTTAGAAGACAGCTGTCTACAGCCTGATCTGGGAACTGAATGTTGCCATTCAGTCAGCTCCTCACAGCTTAGAAGACAGCTGTCTACAGCCTGATCTGGGAACTGAATGTTGCCATTCAGTCAGCTCCTCACAGCTTAACCAATAGTTCGTCTTTGTCCGAAAAGGTACTAATTCGGATCTGCTTGAAGCTTTCAGCATCTGTCAACGATGGAACACTAACACCAATACCCACTGTATATTTTCACAGTGGACAGATCTTCATAGTCATCAACGAGTCGATTCCAAGTGCGAACAAGGACAAAGTCATGAGCTTGGACAATACCTCGAGCACATCAGCTAGGTAATTAATGCCACTGCTCTACGCTGCATGTTGATAGTAACGTCAAGAAAGCAATACTCCATTTTGATCCCTGTTGCCTTATTGAGCCAAGGACGTTTTTCTTTTGCTTCCTCTCACGAGGATGTTATAAACTTTTATCGGGTAAGTTGCACAGAACACAGTCAGCGCTAAGGTAGCAAGTGCTCCACCGTAAGCAAGAGGGGCGCAATAAACTGGCAGCGTTTCCAGACAAACAATACACATCCATTGCAGCATTACATTAGTGCATTCTTCTGGTTCTGTGAGAACAATGCATTCACGCCTCGCAATTGCTTCACTGAAATGGATGGAGTTGTCGCTGCGCCGCTTGCGGAATTGTTCCGACCTGCTCAGCATATATTCCTTCCTGTACTTCCATGGCTTGCGCTAATACGAGGAACCTCTCGGACACCGGGCATAACGCTGCAGGGGAGGCCACTTTTCTGGGGACACGAAGAGTATCTGGATGACCGTGTAACAATACACTGACGGGGGAGCTCACTGTCACTAGGTAGCCTACATGACGGGCCAGTCATCCACATAATATGTCTGCCCGGGTTCTTTAAGCTTTGTCATGTCAGTCGATTGCTTCATTTTCTACTTGGCTCCGTCCAGAACGGGTCTAATGTCATCAATCCACATACGGTTCCACATACGGTACCAAACAGTTCATACTCACTCAAGCGATCTCGAAGTTCGTAGGCTCGCTGAAAGCAGGCCCGTGACTTGAGAACACAACGATATAAATCTATTCAAAAGCTGTATTCACAGCTGAGTTCTGGGTTAGTCTATGTCCACACTCATGTCATCGTTGTTACGTACATCCAGTATTCGTGTGCATTCAGGCCTTCTTTGCTGGTGCCGTGCTTGCAATTTCCTCGGAAACGTTAGTGTCAACATTCATCAGGTACGTTGAGCCTTACCAGCTTCCCATGCGTTGATCGTCTGCCCCTGAACAGTGAACTGTGGGTTGCAGACACTAACGATTGTCAGTGTGTCTGTGATAGAGCGCCAGGCGACAGTCATCCACAATACATACCTTCCAAAAGTACCGCACAAATAGTTGGTCCACTTGACTTTGAAATCACCCAGCTGGCCGTCGTGACCAGAAAGTTCTTGGCCGACGGAGCAAGGTGCCGAGTCTTTGCGAGACAACGTCACATCCGGGTTGTATCGGGAGTGATCGGAGTTTGTGATCTACCCCATCTGTCAGTCTCTTCTATCCAGGTCTGTATTATGGAGATCTAGATAAACAAGAAGATTACAAGTCGCCTTGTTCACGGGTCCGGGTAGGACGCCCGCGGTTGGCCCTCCGAGACCGACCGAGACCCCAGTGTGGACTTCAAGCCAAGCAGAATTAGCTCGCTGCACAATGTTAGCAGAAACCCCGTTGTTTCCCTGGGGAGTGACTGCAGGGAATGCTACTGCGCCCAAAGGCAGAGTCCAAAAGAGAAAGTTGGCATGCATGTTAGGAAGCAGGATGGGAACGGTATGGAATGAACTGGAATAAGACTGGTTTGGCTTATTCAGTGCTACATCGTGTTGTGCAATTGAGCTTTAATAGTCCATGAGAATGGAAGTTCATTGAAGCCGACTCCAATCCCAACATCGATATCTCTACACAGCCCAAGGCCTGCTGTATACACGAAACTTCAAATTTCTGCCTGAAGCTTGAATGTCGTCTTGACGGACTGCCCGAATGATCGATGAAATGCACGAGACAAAAGGGGCAGTTGATGGGCATGTTTGTACCCCTGGTTTTTACACTTCGCGATGACAGCGGAGAATACTGCTGTGTGTGCTTGGATCGTGGCTGTTCCAGAGTTTCTCACAAATCCTCGTGTTGTTTCTCGTCCTTTGATTGTCGGCGTCTTTCTTATCTGAAGCATTTAGCCCCTGTTCGCTGAGTCCGGAAGGTCCGGCATGCCCAGTGACAGCTCATGAACTACCCTTTACGTCAATTACCACCCATGCTTAAACTGTCGTACTAGCTCATTCGGCTGGGAAGGGTTTCAAAAGTCCAGACCACTCATGTGAGGATGCGTTGTTACCCCAACGTGGGGCAGGCAACCGTTGATCGCCAGACAGGGAGTATCAATATGACTCGTAGCATCGCGCCAAGGTTGCATGGCTCCCTACAGCGGTTGAGCATCGTATGCGTTGCCACAAAAAGGCCGAACTGATTCCATGTGAAGCACCGGTCTTATACATCACCGACAATTGTGGTGTGCAGGCCTCCTATCCCATCAGTTGCCACGACATGGGTTCCGTAAAACCCCCCTAAGGCAGAGTAAAGCCAATCGCCTTACGCCGAGAAACACGAGATACTTTCAAATTAAACCCGAACATTCTGAATGCAGGTTGAGATATGACCATATTGTGGGTAGATTGCTCTGGCGATTGTTGGCAGCCGATGAGACATCCCCTGCTAGGTTGAAGCCAACCCTGTTGGCAGACTCAGCTGCCGCTTTCAGCCAAAAGGTGGTTCATCGAACGGGACTACATAATTCCATTTCGCAGAAGCTACAGCGATCTCTCATTTTGTTAGCAGTGTGCGATCAATAGATCCAAAACCCTGCTTCGTGGTTCTTGAGTATCATGATATTTAAGAGTCAGTTATAAACTCCTTTTGTTCAGATTCCCGGGTTGCCCTAGCTTCACAATTGTTTTCAGCCTAATCACCCGCCTACTTCGTATATGTATCTTACCATGAAGCTATACAGCCTCTTTGCCGCCTTGCTTGGCCTATCTCTCTCTGCGACTTGCCAGGCAGCCAAGTCGTTTTCGGCTTCGAACCTCTACTATGCTGCTGGCTTAAACACCCAACAGCAGACATTCCTGTTCGAAGGTCTCCAGAGCGCCGGCATCAAGGTTCTGCGCGTTTGGCTCGATGGTAGATGTCCCCTGTGCTTCTTCAGAGTTCCAGGTGTTTTTGCTAACTACCCACCGACACAGGCCAGTCCGAAAGCCAGAAGGGCAGCAACATTGACACTTTCAACCCTCTCCAAGGGGACAGTCCTGACGCCTGGGACGAAACAGTCCTCAACCGACTTGACAGCTTCATGGACCGCGCCCACGGCTATGGCATCAAGCTTCTCATCTCCATCCACAGCTACAACGCGCTCGAAGGAAACCGTGACTTCTATGGAAAGTGGTACGGCACCGGAGACTTTTACACCAACAACGACGCCATGGCCTACTTTAAAACCCGTATCGCACGCGTCCTTGGTCATGTCAACCCTAACAACGGCAAGACATGGGCGCAGAGCTCTGAGTACATCTTTGCGTTTGAGGCACAGAATGAGGCCATGCACCCCCAGGTGACTACAGACTCTGATCACCGAGTAAATACTGTACTCAACTGACTCTCTCTTCTACCACAGGGCAATCCAGCAGCTTTGGCGTCGTGGCAGTGCACTATGGCCCAGTCGATCAAGGACAGCCTCAAAGGGAACTCCGATATCTTAGTTACAACCGGAGGCGGTGCCTACGTCGACAACTCTCTTCTGGATCCTTACTTCAGCTGCGCCGCTCTAGACGTGCTTGCCATCCACGCATACGGTGTTGACGATTTCGCCACGTCAAAGCTTCAGCCGTATGTCACTAAGGCCCAGAATGCCGGAAAGAAGCTCATCATGCAAGAATGGGGCGCTTGCTACACGAATGCTCCCAACCACGACTGCAACGGCGGAAGTCCGCTCGGCACTAGCACCAGAGATTCGAACATTCGCAACTGGGCCGCCAGTATTGATGCTGCAGGGATCCCGTGGTTCTACTGGCAAATCCTTCCCAATGCCAACCCCCACCAGGGTTGGGATTACGAGGTGGGAATCAACGATGTGAACTGGGATGCAGTCAAGACAGCTGGGCTTGCCGCTGGTCAAGCCGAGTCTGCCTTTGACTTTGATCGCTATCTGTTGTAGGAAACCATTTTTATGGGGCGGCTTGAGGCAGCTAACACCGCAACCTGGAATTGCAAGGGAATGTTCATGGCATGGAATATGCGACAAGCTGAAAGACGCAATCATCCCTGGTGTGATCCCTGCGTAGAAAAGCTGTCCGGGGTGTGTCACACTAGGGCAATCTAGAGCAGGCAGCAATTTTACACTTGTAGGGTTGGATTCGGTTTCTGTGACTCCACAACTCAGCCCACAACCTCAGCTTCTTATTGCGTAACTTTCGCAGCTTCACCCACAGCAACGAGGCAATGTCCTCGTCAGCTTCAATCGCCCTGATGGTCTAGCGGTATGATTCTCCCTTAGGGATTTGGCTTGATCGTAATCCACATTTGGGAGAGGTCCCAGGTTCGATCCCTGGTTAGGGCCCTGCACTTTTGCAGATATCTGTATCCATTTTTGCTGGTGTTGAACATCAACCAGCTGCTGTTTCACATCACGCCTTCAAGCAAATGACCGCCGAACGGGGTGGAAACACAACCGGCATCATGAACTTGGCGAGCTTTTTACTTTTGGGTGGCAGACTTCTGTGGCTATTGTAAGCAGCCACTGTCGTGCAATAGCAGATAAATGCATATGTGACCTGACGATGACGATCTCTCCCGAGCATTGGCTGAAGTTGAGCCTTAACTTCTCGGCGTAAGCCTTGACGATCCGAAGGCATCAAATCACCAGACCCAGCTTGAACACCGCTCCAACTCAGATCGCCGCCGCGCCGACCGTCAGATCTGCAGTGTTACAACTCAATTTCTCAAACGAAGCAAAGGCATCTGACGCGGTGGCTAACGGATGGCGAAACAAAGGCATTGTGGCTGGCCCTAGGGGCTGGCTAGCTAACCGCACCACGTTATGCTTGTTCGCACCTCATGGCAAAGGCTTGTCCAATTACAACAGATAGCGGGCGGCCCGTTGCACTAAATCTCAGCCCAACGACGATCCTGCCCGCTCGAGTGCGAGAAGGATCAGAAGGCAGCAAAATTAGTGGCAGAGCTTGCAGGGGATTGGAAGCGCTTGGCTGAGCCGTTTCCGTGTCCGTGTCCGTGTTGGGGGCTGGATCACACAAAACCGCTGCATCCCTTCGGACGTGAGAGTGCTCGCGTGCTCAAAGTTTTCGGGTTCAAATTTTTGAAGCATTCAAAGCTTGGGGGAATTCATGATATTTTTCTCATCATGACTTCCAGGGTCGAGTACAGTTCTCTTCGAAGAGACAACTCCGACGAAGACCGGAACTCGGCCGAGAAGCCTTCTGCAGCATCGTCAAGCGGCCCGCCTCAACACGATGGACAGCACCCGTACCCGTACACGAGCTCAACAGCAGACCGCATGTTTTCATTCAAGGATTTCAAGTTCTTGAAGATCTACATTGTCTGCATCTCGGTTTATGTCGCCGCTGCCATTGCAGCCGTGGTTTGGACTTACCAGGGCCCCGAGGTCAACGGCGGATACACCCGAAGTCGAGTCTTCCGGACACCGGACGAGTTGAAGGTCAATCAGCTCTACTCCGGCTTGGCCCTCTCCGCGCTACTCGCCCCGGCAGGCATGCTGGTTCAATGGATCATGCACGACTTCCGGCATCTGCGCCTTTTCGCACTTACAGCTCAGAGGCCCGTTTCTCTAGCTGACCTCGACAAGATCGGGGACGACTCGAGCGCGTGGACTTTGAGAATTCTGGGAAAGTACTCGTGGTGGTATGCGGTGATGCAAGCTGCGCTCATCGTCATCCGAACCAGCATCGTTCCTGTCGGCACCCTAATGCTCACCACCGGGGTTTTCGTTGAGAACAGACCCGGATTCGACGTTGTTGGGTTGCCGATCCTACCCTCCGACGACTCGAGCGTACGACGACTTGCCAATGCGATGGGGTGGGATGGGAACGGGACATTCTCTCAAACACTAAACGACAACGACAATTTCTTGGCCCAAACCGTGTACACCTTTGTTGGGAATATTGTCAGCCAGAGCGCGCTAGTCGACGTTTTCTCTGGTGTTATCGGCCCCATCCCCACGCATAATCTCACCTTCAACTCCAATACAACCTACAACGGACTTCTGTTGTACCACTGGGACGCCAACTGCGAGGCCGCCCTCGATGTGCCATACACGACGTCTTTGAATGGCTCAAACGCAACATACACCTTTACGATGCCAGACTCAAGTACGCAGTCCATCAACGTTAGTGTCCAGAAGAGAGAGTCTCAGTCTCTGAGGCTCTGGAACAGCAGGGCAAATACCTCCATCAACGGGGTACCGATCAGCGGTACAACATACTTCATATCAGCTGGCCCTTCATCAGCTCTCAACAGCAAGGCCCTTACGGAAAGCAACGACACTAGCCTGACGCAGACGAAAGAGGGTCATTGGATTTCTCGGTCCAGATGCACACCGGAGTTCCGATGGGAGGTTGGTTCGTGTATGTTCAACGGCACGCTCATGACGAACTGCGAGGGCAAACCCAACACCAACACAACGGCACTGGACACCGACGCGATCGACAAACTCGCAGATTACATGACGGCCATACCGTGGTGGATCTCAAACGAGCAGCTTGAAATCATTGACAAGACGCTCGATACGCTGTACGCCATTCCTACAGCGCAGGACTGGGGTCACTTCTTTGGCAACATCGCTCAATCAATTGCTGCCATCTCAACAGCAGGATACTTTGGCACAGCAACGGTGCCGGTGGTGACTGCTGTCTCGGAAGATGTCTACATCATGCGGACAATAGTCTTGTGGGTCGTGTTGGCTATGCTGTCTGCTGTCCTCATCTTCAGCTGCTTGGATATCTACCGGAGCAAGTCTCGAGGCTTGCCATTTCGTGCTGCAACTTTCTTGGCAATCGCGAATGCTGTTAGGGGGCCGTGGTGGGATCAAGAGCTGCACGGGAGTTGCGCTGCGCCCGAGGTGGCGATGCAGAAGCGGAGCTCATCATCTGTCAGATTCGGTGTTGATGTGAATAATCCGTATCATATCGGTCTATTGCCGAGTGTTTTGCCCATTCAAAGGGGGACGCCATACTTTGGTGTCAGAAACAGCAGAGAAGATGGGGGCGAAGCGGGGTCTGTGTGGTGACGAACAGTCTTCTACCATAGGCTTGAATTCAGTAATTCGACGTTTGAAAACTCGGTATTTACAATCAATTAGCGCAGAATCGGTCTTTGACCGTTGTTGAGGTTCGAAATTCGGCGTTTGTAGGTGTGGCGTGTAGACTTTGGTGTTTCCCTACGCCAGCATCGTCATGCCTTAATCTTGCGCCCTTGGAGTGCGCCCTAGAACATTACTCCGACGGATGGATTCGTGCGACTCATTGGTAAGATGACAACTGATCTGGTGGCTTGATTCATAAGATGATGTCATCAAGTGGCATTCATCTTTGCAGCCAGCATCACACTCCATAGCACGAACGCAAACCATAGGCGTGGGAGGTTTGGTTCTGTGGAACGTAAGTTAGAATAAGCTCTTGGACCCGAGCCTTAGTCCATCCGCATTCTACCGCACTGCGCCTTAGGGGTATTCGAGCGTGCATTTTCCAATTCGAGTAGTAGTATTTAAATCGAAATGTCCCCGACAGAATAGATTGAGGCTCTTCAAATCTGTTCAGCAATCACCATTACCTACCTGTGTGCTGTAAACACCTTCGTCTACCAAAACCTCAAAATGCCTACAGCCATTGTGACTGGTGCCACAGGCATGTGTTGCCCGGTTTATCCTTCATGTGCGATAGCAACTGACCCTGAAGTTAGGCATCCTCGGTCGTGAGATCGTTAAGGAGCTCAGCAGCAATCCAGAAGAATGGTCGAAGATCTATGCCCTCTCCCGGTCAAAGAAGGAAGACTTCCCCCAGAATGTCGTCCAAAGCCACCTGGACCTATGCGCCACCCCTGAAGAGATGGCGAGAGAGCTTCAAGGGGTCGAAGCTGATTACGTCTTCTTTGCCGCCTACTTGGAGCAAGATACCGAGGCCAAGGCCAGCAAAGTCAATGGTGAGTTTGACTAACCCCTTAATGAACCCAAGCACTCATCAAACGCAGGCGATATGCTGGATGCGTTCTTCAAGGCCTTGGTTTTGAACACCAGCGCTTCCAAGATCAAGCGCATCATTCTCGTCTGTGGAGCAAAGCAGTACGGCGTCCAGCATGGCCGGGTTAAGATCCCGATGCAAGAAACGGATCCATGGTATGAGCCGAACATGTAGCCATCACCGTCTTGGCACTAACTTCTCAACCCAGGCTTCCCGAGGACGCCCCGTTCGCACCAAACTTCTACTACCGCCAGCAGCGCATCCTTCACGCCTTCTGCGCCGCCCACCCGGGCATCTCCTGGGTTGTAACTTACCCAAACGAGGTGATCGGCTTCGCCAAGGGCAACTTCATGAACTTCGGCACCGCCGTCGCCATCTACGCCGCGGTCCAGCGCGAGCTTGGCAGCAACGAGCTCGTCTTCCCCGGCGCCGAGGACTTCTACACCAGGATCACAATGTTCTCAGACGCCCGCCTCCACGGCCAGTTCTGCCGCTGGGCCGCGCTCGCCCCTGACGCAGCCAACCTCTCCTTCAACGTCGTCAACGGCGATGCGGCCTCTTGGCAAGACCTCTGGCCGCGCGTCGCCCGCTACTTCAGCCTCCACGTCCCGGCAGACCAGTTTACGCGTCCGGCCCCGGCCGCGTCGGAGCGCAAGCTCGCCGCACGCACGCCGTTCTCCCTCTCCGCGGAGGCGATCGGCGTGGCGACGAGCAGTGCCAGTGGCGAGCAGAAGCAAGAACAGTCGCACGTCCGGCAGAGGATCGACCTGGTGGAATGGAGCAGGAGCGGCGAGGTCCAGGAGGCGTGGAAGCGGCTCGCCGCGCGGGAAGGCCTCGACGGGGACGCGCTCGACAGGGCATCGTGGGCCTTTGCCGGGTTCGCGTGGGGGCGGGACTACGATGTCGTGCTGAGCATGAGCAGGGCGCGTCAGCTGGGGTGGACGGGCTACGTGGACTCTTGGGACGGGTTTGAGACGGTGTTCCGGGGACTGGCGGATGCAAAGGTCATTCCGAAGCAGAAGTGGTGAAGTCGCAACGGCCGAAATAGCTGTCACGTCCATAGTGGTATTAGATGACCCGGTGACCTTTTGGACATGTACCGTAGCATTGCGAAGGAAGTTAGCATGTCGATTGTCATTCCTCTTCCCCTTTCACTGCATTTCTCCAGAGCCACGTACGCGTCGTTTGAGTACTGCACAGACACACACCTTCTTCCTACGCTTCTTCACGCTTGGAGAGAGGCAGAGAGGGTCGAAGGAGGATCCGGTCTCCATCGAACAATCCATCGAACCCATCATGGTGCGTCGGAAGCTAGGCCGGCAGTTGTCAGCATCAGGCTACTTTGTCG